GAGCGGACTGCCAATAGTTGGGATTATTACTATCAATTTTTCCATTAAGAAAAGTAAAGTAATGACAAAGTATGAAAAAAAGTAGTTACAAGCTCGTTCCAATAGGCCTTGTGAAATAAAGAAATTACACAATTGTAATTAACAATTGAATTTTAACTACATATAAATATTACTATTTAATTTTTGTATTTAAAAAGTACTAAAATAAGAATTTTTAATCAAATAAATAAATATCTATCATATTATATAGACTATATTCAAAATTTTGGGCCTTCTGAAATTGAGAGGCCTTGTGCGATTGCACTTCTTGCACGCCCTCATCTAGGGTCCTGAATCATCTCACCCTCAATATAGCTCATTCTCATAATGGCTATACCCATAGTTTTGGTTTTATCATTAGAAACCACACGGGACACAACATCACACATCATTTTCAGTTTTCACAGTTTTTTTCAGGGAAAAGGTGCAAATAGGCCCATGTACTAATCAAAAAAGGTCAAATAAACCCTTATCTAGGTGGCTCTGTCCGGCCGTCGTCATTTGGGGTGGTTCCCGATGGAATTTTTTGATGAAATTTTTTGAAAATCTTATTCATCAAGTCTATTTTACTCATACCAAATTTCAGCTAAAACTTCAATCGGGAAGGCATTCAAATGAATTTTTTAAGATAACTTCGCTTCTAACTGCGCAGTTATTTTCAAGAATTTATTTGAATGCCTTCCCGATTGAAGTTTTAGCTGAAATTTGGTATGAGTAAACTAGACTTAATAAATAAGATGCTCAAAAAATTTCATCAAAAACTTCCACCGGGAACCACCCCAAATGGCGACGGCCAGACGTAACCTCCTAAATAAGGGCTTATTTGACCTTTTTTTGTTAGTACATGGGCCTATTTGCACATTTTCCCTTTTTTTCATAAATTCCGCCATAAAGCTTATTTTGAAGCTGCCCATTGGTATCTCAAAGTCCAATGATGACAATTGGTAAAAAATGACAAAGCTTAAAGTAACACTGAAATTAGTTGGATCGGCTAAACCTATTGAACTTGATGAAATATTTAGCTGAATCGTCTAAAATCTGAATTAGCTAAAACTGCTGAATTATGGAAAAATTGTATTTGAAATTCTTTTTTGTAAATGGATTAAAGAAAAATTAAATAGCTCATTATAGTAATCTCAGTAATTGCAACATGAAAAATAACTTCAGTCTTACTTATTTTTATTATTACACAACTCAACGCACAAAATATTTAGTTGGATCGGCTGAACCTATTGAACTTGATGAAATATTTAGCTGAATCGTCTGAAATCTGAATTAGCTAAAACTGTGGAAAAATTGTATTTGAAATTCTTTTTTGTAAATGGATTAAAGAAAAATTCATATGAAAAATAGTTAAAATAGGAGTCAATTCCCTAAATAGGACTAAAAAGTGGCAAAATTGCACAAATAGAACTACATTTTTTAAATTCCCTTAATAGGACTATTTATATGTGTTTGGACAAATATACCCTTGTAACTTGTGAAATGTTTTAATTAATAATAAAATCATAAAAAATAATAAAAATCGAAAAAAATATTAAAAATCGTAAAACAATAATAGAAAATTAATAAAAATATTTTTTAAAAAAATTAAAAAAACAAAAATTTTTAAAAAAAATTAAAAAAAAATAAAAAAAAATCGTAAAATTAAAAAACAAAAACAAAAACATTACCATCCCTGCCACCCCAGCTCCCGTCACCGGAGAAAAATATGCCAACATTTTAAATAATGCCATAATGATGGCATATTCAATGAAAATGTTGGCATATTGAAGAGTAATTATGCCATCTTTTTGGCATTTTCAGAAAAAAATGGCAGTTTTTTATCAAAAGTGGAAGAAATTTCACCAATCGGAGGTGATGGTGTTGGGAGGCGACGGGAGGCGGTGGGAAAGGTATCCATAATTTTTTTCATTTTTTTATTGGTTTTTACTATTTTTTATTATTTTTAAAAAAAAATTTAAAAAAATAAAAAATTAAATTTTTTATTTTATAAATGTTTTATAAATTTTTTATAATTTTTTTACGTTTTTTAAATATTTTTTACGTTTTTTTAGGATTTAATTATGAATTAAAGCATTTCATTATGAATTAATACTCTTAGGGGTATTTAGGGTAGAAAATTAATGTTTTGTCTTATTTAGGGAATTTAAAAAGTAGTAGTCCTATTTGTGCTTTTTAGGAACTCATTAGTCCTATTTAGGACAATTTCCGTTAAAATAGCTCATTATAGTAATCTCAGTAATTCCAACATGAAAACTAACTTATGTCTTACTTATTTTTATTATTGCACAGCTCAACACGCGAAGTAAAAATTACTTATTTGATAAAACAAATTCACTAGAGTGATAAGTTGAAAATAAAAGTCATCAAATTGACTCTTATTGTAGTATCATTTCGTTCATTCGTTGAATCATGCTTTTATAAATAATAATTGGCTTATGGGTCATCGTTACTACGGAGTATTGATTAATCTCCCCAGTACATCAAAATTATTTATACTGTAAACATTTTTGTGCTACCAGATTGAGGCTTTGATTCTTTCTCTACAGCATTTAAGTCATGCTTGAAGAAAACTCGCTCAAGCCTGATCCCTCCCTCCGTCGATCGAGGAAGAAAATCGGCGCAACAGTTAACCCTAGAGGCCTAGGGAGACGTCCGCTTATGAAATAATATTCTTTTTTGAACATACTTTTTTATATATAAAAATCAGAATTGAACATTCAAGGTTTCTTCTGGGCGAGCCAAAACCGGGCAAAAAATACCTGATTATCAACATCTTGTGTTGGATTGATTTTGAAAATAAAAAAAAGTATTTTATGTTTCATAATATTATCATTTTTTATAACTACGCAAACTACCTAATAGGGTAAAAAGGATTCTTTTTTGAATTAACTAAATCTGCCGTTTTAAAGTGGGTTGAAAATAGGGCAATCCTGAATTCCTAATCCAAAATCGTACTCCAATTACAGGATGTTTTTAATAGGCAAAATTCACAAAAATAATCCTTACTTTTAGGAATTTTAAAAAAATAATCCCTACTAAAAGTATCTATAAAAATAATTCTTACTATCAATAGTGTCCACAAGAAATATTAAAATGAATTCAAACTAATTCTCATTTAGTATTCCAAACTAGGGGTGGGATCGGGATGATCCCGATCCCGATTGCTCAAATCCCGGTCCCGTCCCGATCCCGAGTCAAACTACAAGAGGATCCCGTATCCCGTTCCAATTAAGTCGGGATCCCGACATTAAAATCCCGATTAAGTCGGAAATCCCGCTTAATCTCGCTAAATCCCGACAATGAAGTATCAAACATAAAATTATGTAATTTCTTTAGTTAAGCACTAACTTTGATATTTAATGGTTTCAAGATTATTCTTTGTTCATTGTTATGCCATATTTATCATCATCTACTTATAAAATTTATTGTAATAATTATGATCACAAATTCACATCAGTACATACTTTTAGAATAATTTTTATTTGAAACTTCAATTAATTAATAGTATAATTTTTGAATAAGCTATCAAGGCTTAGTGAAACTTACTTCAAACATTATATAAAAATCACTAAAAGAAGGATGTGTAACGTATATTATTTAAAATTCAAAACTAAGTAGACTCATTCATAAACTTTGTGACCAATGAATGTAATGTATAAATACATATTATGATTATTTACTAAAGAAAAAAATCTTAGTCTCGATCATGATTTTTAAAGGGTTCATCATAACCGCAAAATTTGTAATATTGTTATGATTTAGATTGTCAGGATCAAGAATAATCTCTATTTAGTTAGGATCCCGAATATTCATTTTGGGACAAATGCCGAATAGTTTTAGAAGTTTGATATTGTAAGATACTCGTAGTAAAAGATTAATCTATGTAAGGAATAAGTAATTAAAATAGATATGAAATTATTTAGATACATATTCATTTTTTATATATTCATATATAATTCTATACATGTATATATATATATATATATATATATATATATAAGAGATCACATACTAACCATGCTTAAAATACTAACTTACTAACTCAATAATATGCAACACATTGAACTGCAATATGCAGTACAAATAATGTAAAGATGCACACTGTGAATTTCAATATGCAATAAAAACAATATGCAAAACTTTGAACTTTAATATGCAGTACAAATAATATGCAACACTTTGAACTTCAATATGCAGTACAAATAATGTAAAGATGCACCGTTTTTGATAGTTTGTAGGTTAGCATGGGAGGAATGGTTAGTATGTGATCTCACCCCTATATATATATATATATATATATATATATATATATATATATATATATATATATATATAATGTCGGGATGTCGGGATTTTCCCGATCCCGACTTTTTTTAAAAAAAAAAATCCCGGTCCCGTCCCGACTTAGTCGGGATCGGGATTATCGGGATTGTCGGGATCGGGAGTCGGGAGTTTTTTCCCAGCCCTATTCCAAACTCCTATCTCCAATTTCACCTTCATCACTCTTTGTCTCAGTTTACACTTGTTCCGATTTAGAAAGAACCACATGGCGAAAATGGTGTTGAGATTAAATGAGTTTTGGTTTGATTTTGCCCTGAGAAGAAAAGTGTGAAACAGAAATGGGAGTAAGAATTGAGAGTATTAAACATGCATTAATTTGAATTCACCCCAATTGATTCTTGTAAACATCATTGCTAGTTCGAATTATTTTTGTGGACACTCTGAATAAAGATTATGATTGTAGAATCCTTAGAAGTAGGGATTATTCTTATGAATTTTACCTTTTTAATATGAACTCAATGAAGTAGGGATTATTCTTATGAATTTCACCTTTTTAACATGAACTCAATGTGATTTCGATGTGATTCTTATAGTTTCTATTTTGGTCCTTTCAAGCACGAGTACTACCAGTCTACCACTAGTTACCTAAAATTTGGGTCAGAATACCCCCAAAGTTAGAAAAACACACTGAACCTCCATTTAAAAACGCTGGACCACTGGTTGCTCGTTGATTTACCAAACGTCTCATTCAGTCCTTAAACTAACAAAAATAGTTCATCAATGAGCCTGAACTTGCAAAAAAAGTCCAGAGAAAATTTAGACATGTCGATCTATGTGCATGCCTCCATGTGGAGCGGGTCAAAAGTTCTAAATGAAGTGGGGAGACAAGCATTTGTGCCAACTGCCAAATGATCGAAAAAAGAATTGCAGTGTAGATACACAAGAGTTCAAACTGGTACAACTTGCAATGCGACCCAAAGATATTCATCACATCACATGCTATCTCTAACTACCTGATGGAAGGAGGAGCTTTTGCACTCACTGATGAATGATAGTTGGTGCTCCTTTCATTCCTGTAAGAACTGTAAACATCACCATATTGACTTGCCTCATCTGTATCAGCACCAAGTCCTGGTCGGGCCGATCTATTTGGTTCGGGTTCCAAACTTTGAACATCAAGATTCTGGAGATCAGGAGGGGGTGGAATACATGCCCCTCCTTTACGGGTCGGAGGCTCTCTCTCATAATCATCATATCCATCAGATGGATTCATGGGTCCTTCTGACGGGTTAACCTCATCAATCTCTCTGAAGAATTTCGACACCCTTTCAAGGATTTCAGACTGAGAAACGTTCGAGGGTGGTATAACGGTCGGGATATCCAAAGGGCTTAAAGGGGAGTAAGGAACCCCACTGCCTATCTGCATTTTTCTAACCATCCCAGGGATAAGACCGGGAGGGAACAACGGATACGTGGGTAACTTCTCCCCCACATTTGGTGGCAGGTTTGGCGGTGGGAGAACTGACGGTGGAAGAGAAGATGGCAAGGGGATAGAACTTGGAAATGCGAGAGGAACAGGAGTGGCATGAAACTGTTGGGTAGCCATGGGGGGGATATGAGGAGCTTGTTTGTCTTGATCTTGTAAGCTTAGGAGTGGGCTTTGCACATCAGGCTTCCACTGTACTGCACTTTGATCTGCCCCCCCTGCACAATCAGGAATTTTTTTGTTTATGCAACAAAGCCAATAACTAGTTCAAAACGCAAAAATTACTTTTTGAGGTATTGAGTATCACTTCTTTAGGGGCGTGAAATCGAATTGGATAAAGTAGGGAAAACAGTCTTTCCCACATCAAAAAATCAAAATAACCAATAAATCTGAATAAACAAAATTGCACACATGCACATTGAAATACAAATATACTTCTGTGTGTGTGTGTGTATACATGGTAAAAAACAATCACTGACAGAAACATACACACAAATCAGGGTTTTGTACGGCTTTCTACCTTTCATTTTGCACTAAATAAGCCTAATTTTCGCCTGATGATATGAACAGAAAATAACAATCAACGGGGTAAACCGTTGCCCAGAATAATCAACGGAAGAATCTGTTGCCCAAGCTAATAATGAATAACCCTGCGTGGATATAAATAATGCTATCCTAGTATCGTACTAGGAAACCAATAAGCTAATTAATTAATTGTACGTAGCTAACCTATCTACTAGGAAACCAATAAGCTAATTAATTAATTGTACGTAGCTAACCTATCCTATTGGGAAGCAGACTTGCGCACAAGCCTAAGGGGAAGGAAATTCCATACGCACAAAGCCTAAGGAAATTCTAATAAAATAAATAGCAATGATAAAAGAACTAACATAATTGAAACTAATTAAATTAAAAACTCAGCCCATAACTGGCCCACGGAAGTGGGCCCAAGCACAGTCCCGCCCCATGCTCTTTCCGCTCTCTATCAATCCATCCTCCTTCAAAATAACCTTGTCCTCAAGGTTGAAATCTCGCAGGTCGAGGACTGAAATTTCCAACCATAGAATAGACTGAAAAATATCCTTCATCTCTTTCCTGAACCTTTTCCTGACCGGTTATTTCACAGTACTCATGCTGTTGGAGGTCCAACTCCTCATCTTCCTCAGCTATCATTACCCGCAACTGCTTAAAGGGGCAATTATGCCCCGGTGTAAATGGTTTCTTACACTTAAAGCATAATCCTTTCGCCCTCAAATCAGCTAACTCCTTTGGCGCAAGACGGGTGAACTGAGAGCGTGTCGTAGGCTGCCCAGACAGCCCTGACTTCATCCCTGGAGGCTGTCCACTATCTTTCGCAAAGCTGTCCCTTGATCCTTGTAAGCTGCCACCGTTGGCAGACAATGGAGGACTCGTGTTTGCCAATATAAAGCTGTTGGAACGTACCTCTGACGAATGATAACTCGGACTGCCACTTCCTCCACTTTGGATGGACAGATTATGCTCCACATCGCGAGCTAATTCATGGCCATCTCTAGGTTATCCGGCCGTAATAAGCGCAATGAACTTCGGATTTCTTCCTTAAGTCCACTCATGTAGTAGCCCAAATAATGATCGTCAGTCAATCCCGGAACTTGGCTAGCTAGCTGAACAAATAAGATATTATAATCCTCCATAGACCCAACTTGTTTGACTCCAGACAGTCGTTCAAACCTATTCCCTTGAAATCGGGAATCGAATCTGGCCACCAGGGCTTGCTTGAAATCTTCCCAGGTCATACCAGGCTTGCGTGACTTCAGCCAGGTTACCCAATAGAACGCTCCCCCTTCCATATAGCTACCACAGCGGCAGCCACCTTTTTCTCCGGTAGGGTGTCATTTAACTCAAATTGTTGTTCTGCCCGAGCAATCCACCCGATCGGGTCCCCTCCATCAAAAGCAGGTAACAACGTTGGAGTGGTGATGCGCGGCAGACCGTCGCCGCTGGTTGCTGTCACGGTTGTACTGCCGACCGCGGCCGAAGAGGACGCCGGAGAGACCGGCGGCACTAGCGCCTGCGTCAGCACTGCCAGGGAGGCGTCAATTTCAGCCAATTTCACACCGTGATCTTCCAGAGTGTTATTCATTCAATTTTGCTCCATCTCCATCCGGGCTTGTTCAGCCCCCAGTCGGGCTTGCTCCTCTCTCATGCGATTTTGTTCGGTCTCCATCTCTGTCAATTGATCGTTCTGAGATCTTGTCATCTTGGTGGGACGGGATCCGGCATGTCGGACCAATTGATATGAACAGAAAAATAACAATCGACGGGGTAAACCGTTGCCCAGAATAATCAACGGAAGAATCCGTTGCCCAAGCCAATTTAGCTTAACAAATTTGAATTTTATTCATGCTCGACTGAATAACCCTGCGTGGGTATAAATAATGCTATCCTAGTATCGTACTAGGAACATTTAAGTTCTAGTAGGAAACCAATAAGCTAATTAATTAATTGTACGTAGCTAACCTATCCTATTGGGAAGCAGACTTGCGCACAAGCCTAAGGGGAAGGAAATTCCATACACACAAAGCCTAAGGAAATTCTAATAAAAAAATAGCAATAAAAAAAACTAACATAATTGAAACTAATTAAATTAAAAACTCAGCCCATAACTGGCCCACGGAAGTGGGCCCAAGCCCGGTCCCGCCCCATGCTCTTTCCGCTCTCTATCACCTGAGTTATATTTCAAATATGCTAGATCTTAACCAATGATGTGACAACTGACAATTCCTACTCTCCAAATGTATCCTAGTTTGAACTGCACTAATGGTGTGATGTAGAATTGCCGGGAAAGTATTGTAGAGTATAAATGAAGTATGCGGTTCAGTGCAAGATGGAATATATTGGCGGCAATGTAAAAATGGATAACTGTAGACAGGGAAGAGCAAAGGCAATTTTAAATATTCCATATTCTACATAAGACGATCAATAGCAGATACCTGTACCTGCAGAGGGATCAGGAGCAAGAGTTGATGAGTCACGTTGAGGAACTCCAAAAGAGTTTGGAGGTGGGCCACCGGTCATCTCATTTTCAAATGCATGAATTGTTTCCTGATCAAAAACTTCCTTTGCGCCCCAAAATTGCACAATTTTTTGTAATCGTGACTGGTTTTCTTCCTTGTTCTGAGGATTATGGTATACCCTTGCCAGCATAGAAGCCAAAACAGGTTTAAACGCAAGGGCCTCATTGTCAAGCTCATGAGGATTAATTCTTCGTTGCAAGCTGGGTATCACAAGTAAGTGAAAAGACACAATTGGAAACATTATCAAACAGCTTCATACTTCTTTTGAGTATTTAAATGTTAACAAGATAAAAAAATTATAGCCGCCTGTGTTTCTAAGATGTGTCATTTTGGCTTTCATTTTTCGTATATAATAGTCAACCAAGGGAAAAGTTGCAGCAAGAGTTTGAGAAAACGCATCTCATTAAAGGTAGTGATAATTTAGATATGAGTCTCAACTGTTGTGGCATACAAACATTTTGTTGACAATGTTTTTACTACACATAAAAAGGGGCAATTTTTGGCTTGGGAATATGATGGAATAAAGCAAAATGGCTCACTAAACTGTCTGCGCTTCTTTGTTATGAAGTACCAGTCAGTCTATGCAATTTTCGACGCGATTTTCACTATTGGTCGTTTGGAAACAGTCTCTCTATAATTTAGTATAGGGGTAAGACTGCGTACATCCGACCCCCTTACCCCACCGTAGGTGGGAGCCTTTGAGGCACTGGGGTAATGATGATGATGATGATGATAAAAAGGGGCAATTTCTATGGATTTCTTATGCATGGAGGAGTACTATTCAACCATCATTTAAATATAACACTAGCCAAGGGATATGCAAATCAAGCTTAATATAGGCTCACCCGTTCAATTCACTATAAATCTAGAGGAAGTGATCTCCAAATCTACATATTGATGCAAGATACAAAAACAATGATTGGGTCATGGGGAAATGTATAATTCGTTGCATGTCCATCTGAAAATCAAACATAATACAAAGAGATACAAAAACAATGATGGGGTCATGGGGAAATGTATAATTCGTTGCATGTCCATCTGAATCAAACATAATTCAGATGGCGCTAATTTAGCTTTTCATATTGATGCTAACTTTAGTGAATAGTCTTGAAACTTTTTTTAATAAAAGAGGAATACATCAAACATCATAGATTATTTGACTACCCTCAAAGTGGAAAGAGGATAAAAAAAATAATCATAAATTCAAACATTCCAGAAAAAGAACTTGGGAAGTATGGATTAAAAACAAAACATAGGTGATCAACATATTCATCCTGTCTGTTGTACACCAATATCTTTAGTACATACCTGTCAAACAAAATGTCATTAGCAAGGTAAATAATATGGAGTTGCCTTTCTGAGTCATCCAGCGAAAGCACCCTATCTCTAAGAGCTTCAGCCAAAGCATGTATAAACGGAGACCTCTGCATAAACCAATTCTTAGCACCTTTGATCGACTCTTTAGTGCCAACAAGATTGCTCAGAACATTATTCAACTCCATTTCAATATCAGGCGGAAGAGGTCTAGATAGACCTTTGTAAGACCTGTATGAGTTATTATCATAATCAGGACGTCCAAAAGATTGAGGGTACTGCTGATCATATGAGGGTGTAAAAGTGGTCTGATGTAAATGAGGTGGGCCCAGAACGGATGCTGGTGAGGCATTGTACTGTGGAGCAGTTAAAGGTGATGGACTCATCATCGGGTTTGGAGGATGCATCATTTGCATAGATGAAGGCGGGAAAGGGAAATTAAAAGCACCACCAGGCGGTCGTGCAGACATCCAAAGCTTGAAACGGTAGTAATGATGTCCTTCACCTCCAAATAGGAAACCATAAGCGGGATTGTCTTGCTGTTTCTCGCGGATCATGGCTTCAAACTCAGGACCGTTCTTTACAGCATACTCTATCAGTTTATCAATACGCTTAAGCAGATCAGGATCGTGTGGTGGGGGGGCAGGCGGTGGTGGAGAATCATAAGGGCCATGGAAGGGTGACGCAGCAAGGTGAGGAGGAACATGTGGTGGAAATGGAGGAGTAGGGGTAGGATGATGCTGTTGCTGCTGCTGTAGGTGAAGAAGGTGAGGAGGTGGGGCATGAGGATGGAGTTGTGGTGGGCGATGGTAAGGAAACTGTTGTTGTGGGGGTAAAAATGGAGGAAATGCTTGATGTTGCGGAGGGAAGCCAAACTGTTGTTGTTGCAGATTAGCCGGTGAGTGATGATGTTGGGCAAACGCCATAGCAGCATAATCATGAGGTGGTCGGTCCATCAGCTCTGAGTAGAATAATAATTGGACAATAAAAGAAAAGTTCAAACGCCTATTAACAAATAGAGGCAACACTAAACAAAACAAAACTCATGAGTTCATGGCAGAGAAGCAAACATCAGAATGAGAGAATGCAGAAAGGGAAAAAGAGAGGTAAAAACACAATTTATTATTTAGGAAAAATTGATAGTAATAAATCCCAATTATTGGCGGTCTGCTTATAATAATCCCAACTATCGATTATTTTAGAATAATCCCAACTTTAGGGACCTTCCGCCAATAATGATCCCTATAAATAAATTCATGTAGTTTCTAAAGTGGATGAGGAGAGATATAACAAGTAATCCCTATAAATAATCTCAACTTTTAATTTTTATACTTAATTTCTATTTAAAATCACTTTTTATAGGAAGTAATATCTGGTCATGGACTATTATTGGCGGACGGTCCATATAGTTGGGATTATACAAAAATAATCAATGGTTGAGATTATTATCAGCGGACCGACAATAGTTGGGATTATTATTTTCAATTTTCCCTATTATTTATTCTACAAAAAAAGGTTTCAGCTATTGTATGAAGTTCTTTTAACCTTTTTCAGTGAGTGATGGATAAACATTAGCATCAAACTGCTATCCATAATTTATTCATTCATTATTATTACCTTAATCCCTGCTAGTTAGGATCAGTGGCATTACATCTGCAGCAGCTAATTAATGCACAAAATTAATTAACATGGTAAATTTATGCACAAAGCACAGTGATTGTGTAGTAACAAGGATGCCCTTCCTGTCGCAACTCCCCTAAGAATAAATAATGAGACGAAAGTTTTAAAACTGCTAGCATCACAGCCTCACGGGTTGTTTTGAAATGCGTAGAGAACATCATGAGATGACTAAAAGTTGAAATATTTGCTATAGACCTATTGTCATGTCCATTATATGATTGATACTGCAAAATCAATATGCACGTAATGAAACATGACCAGTTAAATTGCTAGACATAAAAGTGTGTGTGTGTGCGCGCGCATTGGCTTCAACATGAGAAAAAGTAACAAAGATACAGTAAAAAAGTAATTGTTGATTGCTAAACATGTGTCAATTTTGCTCCCTGATGACTAAGGATGTTTTCTTTTGGACTATTTTTAGTCCAAGACCAGACTTAAACAGACTAGACCAGACTTGGACAGCTATAAATACACCGAGACCATACATTTACCAGACCAAACCAGTTCAGACTAGTCCAACAAATTACAGTCCAAAAGAAAACATCCTAATCTTGTGCTATTTCCAATAAAATGTATAGTTGGTATTGGGTAGTATGTGAAATGAGAGTTGTGCAGAGAATTATTTACCACAAAATTATGTATAGTATGTCTATACAGACGATATACTCACACCATCCCAAATTGTAAGGGCTATGGACCTATGGTAAATAACAAGACTTGGACTGAAATTAATGTTATGTTTATTATAGTTACATTCGACTTAGTACTCCATCGGTCCCACTATGTCGGTTCCATGACTTCATTTTGGTCCGCCTCAAAGTATTTGTTCAATACCAATTTGAACATACTTGTGTGGCTAAAAATCATTAATACTTCAAAAATTCAATACCAATTTCGAAATTCCATTTTCATAATTTCCATGTCAATTACTTTGTCCCAAACTTAGTGGGACAAAGGAAGAACTAAATTTAAATTTACGTATTTAAAAGCCATACTAAAAGTTCTAAAAATAAGATGAGAAAAACAAGTTGGGTTAACACAACCATTGTTAGTTACTGGTATGAATAAAATAAGAGAGGTGTTTTGTGGTTTCCAATAACATAACCCAAACTTTTAAAAGTTATCCCGCTCAAAGAATGGAGGGGGTTAAAACAGCTTGTGCTCTTAAAACTAAATTTCACTGTTTTCACACAGCAATCAATCTCTGCATAGTTTTATTTTTGCTAAGCAATAACATAACAGGAATAAAATTGACAACAATTGAATATATCTTAAGGTAATAGAAAATATAAAGACATTTTAATGTAATAGGCTAATGGTATCCTAATATTTTAAAAAGTGACCAAATGGAAACTTGCTATCGAAATCCATATACTGCCTCCATCCTAAAAAGTTCTCATTCAGTAATCTTGAAATTATCTTGATTCACTCTTAAACTTTAGCATACTTGTCACAGCGGCTAGGCGAGGCGCGGCGCCAATCGACCGCCTTATCGCCTAGGCGTTTAGGCGCCCACCTAGGCGACTAGGCAACACGTCATACCATATGTAATATTTGTATATACATATAATAAAATAATATATTACAGATTATTTAAAAAAAACATATACGAAACAATATATTATGTTTCTAGAAAAATGACTAATATAAATTTTCACAAAGAAAATAGCAAAAATACATAGTAGATAATATGCAATAGTATAGCAGACTTTGGTAACAAATATTGAATTTGGTTAATGCACTCCAGCTGGACATGAAATAAATGAAAGAGTAGAAGAAGTTTACTGTACATAAACAGTGTACATAAAAATAGAAAAATGCGTAAAACATTTTTAAAAAAATATATGGAGTCCAGCTGTCTGTCTAACCAAACAAAAACCAAAAAAATAAAGAACATCTAGCGACCATCGAAAACAGGGACGCCGAACGAGCGAGGTAAACGAAGACGGAGGTGGAGCAGCTGCGCTAAACAGTGACCTTAGGCGGTGGCGTTCTGTGGAGACTTCCGTCAGTGACTCGACTGACGGGATGAACTGTTGATGGGCCTAGGGTTCTGGCCAACGGCTTAATCATAAAACTCAATATCTTCTCTAACTTAATAATCTGGGTCGAAGCGGCAAAAACAGGCATTGTTGGGCGTCGCCATCAACGACTTGTTGACGCCTAGTCGACGCCAAGTCACGCCTCAGCAGCTCCAGGCGAGTCGAGTAACCATGGCGCCACTTCTCCACCGCCAGGACGACTAGTCGGCGCCTAGGCGACGCCTTGACAAGTATGATCTTTAGTTATACATAAAAAATTATCACATTCGAAATTCAATAAATTTTCTACTCTGTATTCAATAAAACTTTCAGCATAGTTTCTAAATATGTAAATGTAATTAATAATACAATTATCATACGATAGTTGTGTGAAATTGGAACTTAAAAACTAGAATACAGCAAGTGCTGATCTCAAACGTGAAAATGAGATCGACAAAGCTGTGGTTCATGCAAAACATAGAAATGGTAGGGCTAATAAAATATCTACACAGCAGTTTTTCAGATTTGTATATGTGACTGTATGAAACAAACTCATTAATGAAAATATATCATGTGTTTTATACCTCGAGAGTTGAAATAAGAAATATTTCATAGAAAGTTTGATAAGGTTGGAAGTTGAAGCAATGATGACTGATGAGGACAGAAAAGAAATACCTTGACGGACGGAAGAATGGTGAATTATCGAATAGGAAGGAGGCCACAGCCGAACCCTGTACAGATTATGCGACGTTTCTGGGTGTTAGCAATTGTTAAAGTTGGGCTTGAGTCCAAACGTAGAATGTGAGGCTAGGCCTACTGCAATAATCTAAATTTAAATTTATTTAATTTAGAGCTTGTTAGTAACTACTATATTCAATAATTTATCAATTCTATCAGCCAATTTTTTAACCTAACACGTGACTATTAATTTTGAAAGCTTAATTATATAATGATCAAATAAGTAAAGTAAGAGCTATTTTTCAAATTGAATTAGCTGAAAAGCCTGAAGTTGCTGAATATGAGTATATGACTGTTTGAGCTATATTTTTTATATTTTTTCCTTAGTTTTAGTACTAAAATATATATTTTAAATATAATTATTTTACAACTCTGCAAGTGTAGACGGGCAGATGAAGTCAATTCGGCCATTTCATTCAAAATTTCATCACTTTCAGCAAATTTGATAAATTTCAGTATTACCAAATGAGTAACTCAATTGGCTAGCTCAACTGATAAAGCGGTGGAAAGTTTGGACAATGAACATGAATCGAAACCCGCAAAGGGTATAAAGTCTATCACAGTTAAGAACGGTTGGGTCACCCTGATTTACAACCTCCCATATGCTCTGTCGAGTCGGGGCTTGAGGGCCCTTAGGGTTGGGGATTCAACCTTTTTGGACAATGTAATAGAGTCACATGCCTAACAACACACTCTTCATATCAATGTCATACTAAATTTTGAAAAGATACCTTTAAAAGCCATATTCTAGATTACAGTCTTCATCGGACGCCAAATAGTTCATAGCATACTGAAAACCAAAGATTTAATAGCTCTTTCGGTTATAATGGCACTTATCTCATCTAGACGAAATCTACCATCCAGGACTTTACTTTCTTCCTCTATTTTAAAATATTTGTTATGTTATGTAATCATGTTAAAGTTACTATAACACCAACCACCAGGGCAGGTCCTGATAAATTTACTATAACACCAACCACCAGGGCAGGTCCTGATAAATTTACTATAACACCAACCACAAGTAGAGATAGAATATAAATAAAGAAAATAATTGTGATATTTTACTGATAAGTTGTCATTTAACTTTTCAAGTCTTCTTTTCTTTTCTTTTTAATCTTCTCATACCCGAATGGGCATTTCTTTGAGAACATAATTACTACCCATTATTGAAATCCTCCACTAATTTGTACATGTTTACAAAATTTAAGTTAAAATTCAATTTAAATTTTGGGTTAAGAAATACAATTATAAACCCAAAAATCTACTAACATACTTATATCATTTCTTGATTGTTAATCACAATTATTAATTTAAATACTTAACAAATAATAACTTCATTAAATAAACAACATAATCTGTAAATTATAGTTAAAAAAAGAAAAGTCAGAGAACCAGTTCTTACCAGGGGGCAAGGCACTTCGGTCTTCGGCTAGAGTGCGAGATACGGAGACATAGCCAGGTAGCGTGCCGTGTAGCGGTGCAAGGCTACGAGCGCGGAGGCGGCTTGGCGCGGTGGTGGGCCTGGCGTCGATCAGGGTGTCTTCGGTCGACGGTCGTCCCTTTGTCGCTTGTAGAGGCGGCACAGCTAGTTGCCGGCTGCGTATTGCCGAATCGCCGATTGGGTGTCTCCTGTCGCTTCAACTCCAAGTAGTCGTGCAGTGCAGAGCAGGACAGTTCTTTGGGCCGGCAGTTGCCTAATACTACTAATAATTTTTGGGCCTTAAATAATTTGGGCCAGTGCCACTGGGCTGGTACCCTTGGGGCCTGTGGCAACTACAAAAAACTAATGATGGTAATGGCGCCGGGAAGAAGTGGGGTCGTTGTGGGGGCAGTGGCGGATCCAGGAAATGAAAGTGTTGGGGGCGGAGTAAGATGATGAACATAAAGACAATATAAAGTAAAATTATGTAACAAAAAATATCTGAACAACAAATAGTTGTAACAAAAAACACGAGAATATTATAATGAAATAAAGTATGTTACAATGTCAGAAGGCACAAATATAGTAAATCACAACTGCTCTCTTCGAGTTTTCATTTTCTGAAAGAGATCTATTACAGTTTCATTTGTTACTGTTTCAAATATATCTCTTTCAATAAAGCAAACTAAACAGTCACTAAGAAACTGATCACCAATTCTGTTACGCAAATTAGTCTTCACTATTTTCATAGCGGAAAAGCATCTCTCAACAGTGGCGGTGGCAACTGGCAAAGTCAAAGCTAGCTTTAAAAGCCTGTATACAAGAGGGTGTGAAAGATGTTTTCTTGTGTCCACCATCACTTGAGCAAGATCACCAAGACTTTTCAAGTTACGAAACCTTTCATCCGCTAGGAGATTATCAATGTAAACACTAAGCTCATGCTCAAGACTCCTGCGTTCAACGCAACTAAAATCCTCTGGATAAAACTCAGCAAACCTCATCAATTTCAAAGGGTCAAACTCACGAAAAGAATCAATCGGACTCAAAGAAGCCGTGCAAGTAAGCAATTCAGAATTTACCTCATCAAACCGATCATCAAATTCTTTGATTTGCAAATCCATAACAGTATTAAAACATTCAAACTCATAATGATGCCGCTTAGTAATATTAGTTCTTTGTCGTGGCCGCTTGGGGTTAACAAAGTTTTTTTCCATATCAAGCATTGAAACTTCATACTTCTCACAGAATGAAGAGATCTTTCTCAAATGAGAACCCCACCCATCAACTCTAACTTTTAACAATTGCCGCTTTGTTGTTTCTACTAATGACATAGCATTGAGTATATCTTGATCTTTCCTTTGAAGAGCAACTGACAAAGAGTTTGTGAGTCCCAAAATAAGCAACATCAATTGTAAATAGAAGACGAAATCAAAGAAATGAAAGTATTTTAAAAGACCATTTGTTTGACGTCTTTTTACACTATCAATGCCTTCATTTTCGACATATTTAAGGACCTCAACAACAGATGGAAACAATTCAACCAAATTCAAAAGTGTTCTATAGTGAGAACCCCAAGGCGTGTTTCCAGGTCTTTGAAGTGCAAGTTCCTGATTCAAACCTGTTTCCGTGCTAATTTCGCCACTGCTTATAGCTTGCTTCACTTTTTCTTGGTGGCTTTCTCGAATCATGTCTCTTCTCTTACAAGAAGCTCCAACCACATTCAATAATAGCGAAATCATATCAAAGAAATCTCCAACTTCAAATTGTTTTTTTGAAACTGCCACAACAACTAGTTGTAGTTGATGAGCAAAACAATGAACATAATAAGCTGAGTTATTTTCTTTCAAAATCAAAGCTCTGAGACCATTGAATTCACCCTGCATATTATTTGCACCATCGTAGCCCTGGCCTCTCACATTTTTCAAACTCAGACCATATTTAGAAAAAACACAATCAGTAGCAGATTGAAGAGATAAAGAAGAAGTATCTTTGACATGAACAACACCAAAAAAACTTTCTTTGACCAGGCCACATTTATCAACGTAACGCAAAACCACAGCCATTTGCTCTTTGTAAGAAACATCGCTTGACTAATCAACAAGCAAAGCAAACACATCATCACCAATATCTGCAATAATAGAACGCACCACTTCTTGTGCAAAACAATTGGCAATATCTTTTTGAATGCTTGGAGCAATAACTTGATTATTCCCTGGAGCATTTTTTAATACAACCTTACAAACCGCCTCGTTCTAACTAGCGGTATACTTTAGCAATTCCAAAAAAATCCCTCTATTGTTAGAAACTTCAGACTCATCACGACCACGATAAGGGAGTCCTTGATGCAATAAAAATCTTGAAACATCAATAGAAGCATTCAAGCGAATACGGTACTCATTTTTCAAAATATCATTTTGTCTATCCATTGCAACTGCAATTGATTGATCTTGATTCATCAAAGCATCACACCTTTTAACTGCTACATTGTGAAACTACTCTTTTCACCCACATGAGAACCTAACCTCTCAGTTTTGTTCCAACTTGAAAAGCCTTCACTTACAAATGCATCACTCCCACCACGATTTTCAAAATAATCTCTAAACAAGTAACAACATAAACAGAAAGCTTTGTCATCTTGAATACTATACTCTAACCAGCTAGGATAGTGATCAAACCATTTAGAATTAAACCGTCTCAAAGCATTCCCGATTTCCTTTTGAGGGAAGTCATGACCACGTGGTTGGCAAGGACCTTTAATCAGATATTTTCTTCGAATTTCATCCCTTTGATTAGGATGATATGCAGAGATTTTTCTTCTTTTTGCGGGGTCAGAAGGAAGGTCATCCAAATCGACTTCTTGAGACATTGGATTATGACATTGAGAAGTAATATTACACACATTTACACTTGAACTTCCTGATGTTGAGGAGGGTGTTGAGAAGGGTGTTGAGGAGGACGGTTTACTCAAAAATCTGCCCATAAAAGCTGATAAAAAATAAATTAATTTTTGTTGGGAACTAATATAGTCTTTATAAATCTTATTATCTTACTTCTTTTAGCTATAAAAATATAATTTGCATAGTTAGTTTACTAGTTATCTTAATTCTTTGATCCTATTCCTAATTATCTTAGTTTACTAGCTATTTGACTAACATTTTAATAAAGTTGGATAAATTTTATCAATAAATATTTATCATATATTCATATCTAAACAACTACTCAAGTCAAATGTTGGAAAAAGGTGCAAATAGGCCCATGTACTAACCAAAAAGGTCAAATAAGCCCTTATTTAGGAGACCATGTCCGGCCGTCATCATTTGGGGTGGTTCCTGCTGGAATTTTTTGATGAAATTTTTTGCTCATCTTATTCATCAAGTCTAGTTTAGTCATACCAAATTTCAGCTAAAACTTCAATCGGGAAGACATTCAAATGAATTCTTGAAGATAACCGCGCTTCTAACTGCGCAGTTATTTTCAAGAATTCATTTGAATGCCTTCCCGATTGAAGTTTTAACTTAAATTTGGTATGAGTAAACTAGACTTGATGAATAAGATGCTCAAAAAATTTCATCAAAAAATTCCAATGGGAACCACCCCAAATGACGACGACCGGACAGAGTCTCCTAAATAAGGGCTTATTTGACCTTTTTTGGTTAGTACATGGGCCTATTTGCACCTTTTCCCTCAAATGTTTCATGTCATTGTCAACATCTAAAAACGCAGAAATGCAGAAAGCTCAACAACAAATAATTACCCATTAGGCATTAGCTCATTAGGTTAAAAAAACAAATAACTTATGCAATAATACAATAATACAAAATACAAATTAAATATAGTAGTCAAATAGTTATTACTTAATATTCAATAAGTTTGTTGGGTTAATGGACCAAGCCGAGGTCCGGCCCATTAACCCCTTTCTACCAGACGCACGTCCAGTTAGGACACAAGGCTAGCCGCAGGCCCATGCTCCTTGGGAAGCAACGAACGTCTGGGATTGGGGGTTTAGGCTCGACGGCCCATCTCGACGAGCGTCTATGCAGGGGCAAGAAGCAGGACCACGGGCCATCAGGGATGACGACGAACGTCTCCAGAGCAAGCCTATGGTCATCGGAGGAAATCTGGCCCACATGGTGAGGATCCATTAAGGCCAGGAGACGAGCAGCCGGCACCTCTTGAGAGTCACTTGGAGCGATCCAGCTCGCTCCCCGGGCGGACGAACGTCCCCACTATTTAGGCGGGAAACCTAGATTCTGGCGGGAAGTGCATTTAATGCTGAAGATTTGGTGGTTGAGACACCAGCGGTCCACAGGTTTCCACGTCAGCATAGCCACCTGCCCATTGGTGGTTATAAATAGAAGCATTTATTTCATTGTAAAGGGTTGGCAACTTTCTATTCTTAGCATTCTAGCTATAGCATCCTTACTCGCAGCGCCTCTACTGCCTTGTAAGACGAACGGCCGACGGAGCCTTAGCAAACAGTATTGTATTAGGGAGTTATTAAGAGATAATAATACCTAATCACTTACTTGCTACCTTATTGTTTCTTGATCCTTATTACTTGCTAGTTGGGCTAGTTTACTCCCACACTCTCCACTCGAAATCCTTGGGCTTACGTGTTAGACCCGGGGGTTGAAGGAATAAACCTCAACAAAGTTTAAAGAGAAACCTGCACTTCTGGAATTTGGAACCGGAGCTTTTGATTTTCTCGACCCCATTCTTGAATTCTAGACTTCTCACTGCTTTGTTTCCCTTTGGTGTGCCGACTTCCGTCCAGCCTCCACGACGCCACTGCGCAAGAAGAAATCAGGTAACACCGCAGGCCCGCAACAACTCCGCAGCTCCTCTCGTCGACTCCAGGCTACGCCGCGAGGTTCTTGACTCGTCGAGCTCTGTTTTAGTCTAGGGATTTGTTGTCTGGCGGGGAAGTACGAATAGTTAATTTGGGTTTTGGATATTTTGGTTATTTGGGGCTTTTGGGCTGGGTGAATGATTGGGCTAGGTATATGGGGGCATTTTTATTTTCTAGCCGGGGGCAATTGTTTTGGACTGGGATATTTCTTCCTAAATAGTAAGAGGTTAGTAGCCCTTTGATGGGGGCAGCTGCCCCCACTACCTTTGCTGTACGTCCGCCCCTGTGTGGGGGTGGGACGGGTGCGGGGATGGGTGAATCGTTTGCCCTCTCTTACATATGAAATGTGTGATGGGTGATGCACCCCGCCCCATCCCCGCACCCCACACATTTTTTACAAAACCCCAAGA